TACCGTCATCTCCTGTGGAGGTGTTGTGTTCGCTGGAAAATAGTGGCGCCGGAGTACTAGTCATCCATGACTTCGGACTACTATTAGTTTTCCATTCAGATTGACTAACATTTGTGGCAGCGATAGCAGATCTGAATAAGCCTAACGGATAATATAATATTTCATTAAAAACATTAAATTTAAACACAAATCTAATCGAGTGCTTACTATTGGAGTTCGAGTCGTCAGGGTTTGAATTATCCTTAACTTGTGGTTTAGAGTCGGTCTTAAAGTAGTAGTCATCGTCTCGACAGCCCCGACAGCCCTTACACGGCTCCATAGTCTCGTAGTCGTAGAAATTGAGCGGAAGTTGTAATTCTTTAACTTTCCTAAGAATTTCTTCAGACTCCGGGGCTTTCATGTAAACAATTTCGATGTCGTCGTCACTTGATTTTGAGTGACACTTTGGGAGACTATTTGTCGACTCTTTAGTTTTAGTATCTTTAAGATTTTGATTGCAATTCAAAGTGTTTTGTTTCTCAACAGAAGCGCAACTATTATCAGTAGTTTTATTCACGCAAAGTCTCGACTGTGCGCTCCGGAAGGCATTGAGAAATAGTTCCGCGTTCTCAGGGTTTTTCAAACGTAACAAAAATATCTGCGGATTTGGAGTCTCTTCGCTGTAGTCAATGGCAGACCAAGTGATCGATTTCTTGTCATCTTTTAAGTCAAGCTTCAAATCTGCGGTAATGTATTGATTGAGACATACTTTGAGAATCGTGTCGCGTCTCATAAGAAGCCTAATTCGATGCGATTCCGGGCTCTCAAGTATCTTCAGATCTCCGACTCCGCGCTCTTTCCACTCATTGTCACAAAACCGGAAAAGTCGAGCTCTGCTCACATACAGCACTGTCTCCTCCTCTTCGCCCGTTTTGATGTCAACTTTGGGCGGAAGGGGAACAACGGGTTGGAAGTATATGCTGTCGGCATTCGACGGCTCCACATGGGATTCACTAAGACTTGTATTATGTTCTTCTTCAGTCTCATTGACAACAGGCGTCTGGACATCAACTTTGAGTGTCTCTTCTTTCGCCACATTCTTGAAATCAAAGCCAAACTTTGGACTCGAGTTAGCATTCAAATCAAAACTGAACGGAATTGTCTTATTATCACTTGTATTCTTTGAGAATAGATTAAAGCCCTTGTCTTCGAGTGGTTTAGCCGTCGGTTGGAAACCAAAGTCAGAGTTACTTAAGTTCAAAGTGGGAAGCGGTTGAGGACTCGTAGTGTTGCCAAACTTAAAGCCAGTGTTACTGAAGATTGTGTTGGAATTCAAAGTGGTATTCGAGTTAAAAGAACCGAATTTAAAGCCACTCGTACTCGAAGTCAAAGATTGCGTAAAAGAGATGGGATCAACGTTTTCAGAGCTAAACAATTTGCTATGAAGATTGTGTTGGAATTCAAAGTGGTATTCGAGTTAAAAGAACCGAATTTAAAGCCACTCGTACTCGAAGTCAAAGATTGCGTAAAAGAGATGGGATCAACGTTTTCAGAGCTAAACAGTTTGCTCGACTCATTAGCCACGGCCTGTTTAGGTGTAGTTCCCGGCTTAGGTGTCGTACAGGCGGCACAACTGGTGTCTGAACCATTGTTTTGGACGTAACAAGCGGTGCATTGCCATGAATTAGCTGCCGGTTTGAAAAGCTCTGAAAGAGGTTTAGTTTGATTCATGGGATCAATCGGAAGGCCAGGACTTTGCCATTGATTCAATTGATTTGTATTTGAAGTGAGGATAGAACTCGAATCAATCGCTTCATTCTCTGTAAGATTAGGGGAAATGTGTTTAAAAGGATAATCCTTAGGCTATTTAAGTACTAAATGTATACCTGATATATAATCATCAAAATCTTGTTGCTCTTCTTCTTGAGTCATATATTCATAGAAAGTCTCTTTCAATGAATTCTGGGAATCGGTTAAAGTATTGATGTTATCATNCCTTAGGCTATTTAAGTACTAAATGTATACCTGATATATAATCATCAAAATCTTGTTGCTCTTCTTCTTGAGTCATATATTCATAGAAAGTCTCTTTCAATGAATTCTGGGAATCGGTTAAAGTATTGATGTTATCATTGATTGCAATCAATTGTTTCTACGGTATAAACCAAATATAAAATAAACATTTAGTAAAATTCATTGCAATCAATTGTAATCTATCGAAACCTGAATGTCTTTAATGTTAGAAGTGTTTTGCTTTAAGAGATCCAAAAGCATTTTATTGGTGGCAATGAGGGAATCGTGTTGTTTAGCCATTTTGTCCAAAAGTGGTTGATTAGCGCACGTCCCACAGGAATGGTGGTTAGCATCGGAACTGTTCTCAGAGTTCTTAGCATAACGTTCAGGCGTCGACTTCANTTTAAGAGATCCAAAAGCATTTTATTGGTGGCAATGAGGGAATCGTGTTGTTTAGCCATTTTGTCCAAAAGTGGTTGATTAGCGCACGTCCCACAGGAATGGTGGTTAGCATCGGAACTGTTCTCAGAGTTCTTAGCATAACGTTCAGGCGTCGACTTCACAGATGGGCTCATATTGTTGGACATAATACTGTTGCTGTCATTCAACTGAATATTCAACACAATTATAACTGAATGGCATTTATTTGACAACAAATCACAAATCATACCATCGATGGAGACATCACTTTATTGGGCGTCAATTGACTCAACGATAAGTGATTCTCAATACCATTGGAGCCAATCTTGAAGTCCAGAGATTTTCTATAATTAATAACCGCCCGATCGTTGTCACCCATGGCTTCATATATCTGTGCCAACAGTTTATGTCCATCGCTGGAGTTGGGCTTAACATTCAAATAATGGAGCCAATCTTGAAGTCCAGAGATTTTCTATAATTAATAACCGCCCGATCGTTGTCACCCATGGCTTCATATATCTGTGCCAACAGTTTATGTCCATCGCTGGAGTTGGGCTTAACATTCAAATACGAGTTCACAGACCTATGGATCCAATCGGCAATTAATACAAACAAATCTTAGTTAAAAACTTGATTAAGTGATCCATAGGTTGCGGTGATGATATGGTGGGCAACCTATGGACCACGGATTGAGACAATGTGTGCAAAAGTGTCATTACTTCAAAGCGCTGTCCAATTCATTGTTCTTGAGGTAAAGTCTGCCGAAATTGAGTCCTCGTAATGAACGCTACAATTAGTCAAACAATCCATTAGTCAATGCTTTCATTGCAAACAAAACACATGGTCTTCACCTCTGTTTCACTCTTGGATTTAGTCATTGATTCCGACAGACTTTTGTCGATATCCTTAAACGATCGGTTCATTAGCTTTCACGCAAATTGCACTCAAATGTCACACAAAACTCAATGTTTTTGAAACTGAATTAACGTTTCAATGACAACAGAGTCAAAGGCATTGAATGCGAGTGACCGGCAATAATACTACAGTCTATGCCACATATATATACAACACTTCACTATCACTATTCATTCAGTTAGAAAATACTCACACTTTCAATATACTGTAAGTCACTAGTAATTTATACAATAATTAACATGTTATTCATATTACTGTCTGTTATAATCTCAATTAATTATAATAGTTTGTTCATTATATGGAATTTCTACTGTATTCACACAAATACAAACTCCATTGCTTTACATGTGATTTATTTGTTTTAATTGTTATTTCATAGAGGTCTCTATTATACAGTTTAATAAATAAAACTTTGAAGTTTGCATATAATTTTATTATAATACTTTTATAATAATTGAATACTTTAATTTTATTTATTCAACAGTAGTTCATAATTTTATTCAATTTCATAATTATATGGTATATTGCTTTTTATCTGTTAACATCAATATATTAAATATTATTTTTAATTATCAAAACTATCAGCGATAGTCTATCACATTATATATTTATAACAATTATTTTAAGTCAATAAAAACTTGTAAATGAATTAAATAGGAATTACATAAGAATTGTAACGAGAATGTAGTGATAGAGAGGGAGAACTAAATTATCCACTTCTTTCACATTAGACTCTATTAAAGCCGATATTAATGATATAAAACTCAATTTGGACACTAAATTAACATCCATTGAGACATTAGGGGAAAGGTATGACATTATCAATAAAGAACTCATTAGTTGAGCAATAAATGCAAAGAAAGTTCCCTCATATGTCTTATGAGAACCCCTCCAACGGTTTCTACCAAATAGAGAGCCTCCGACAGCAGCCGCCGTATCGCCCAAACCAAAAATAAAGAACTCATTAGTTGAGCAATAAATGCAAAGAAAGTTCCCTCATATGTCTTATGAGAACCCCTCCAACGGTTTCTACCGAATAGAGAGCCTCCGACAGCAGCCGCCGTATCGCCCAAACCAACACTTATAACACCGCTTGCAATGGATATACCATTTGAAGGGCTAATCCATAGAGGAAGAGAACAACCAATGAGTAAATATATGTGCGTTAGAGTCAGGAATCCGCTGTCCTTTTGGTCTCGAAATTTGTCAAAAACTGATTCAATTGAACGATAAATTAGAGGAACTCTTCGCACTCTTAACACCTATTATGAGATAAACGCAAGGATTGTATTAATGAAATGTTGAGTACATGTGAGACATATTTGTAAAACATTGAAAGCAATGAAATAAGTAAAACATTCAAACTCTCACTTCAATCATCAGAAAAACAGCCAAAATAGCAGCCGAAGAGAAGCTTAAGAATTGGATATCATTTTTAAAGCCAATTATATAAACAATAGAAATAAATATGTGAAACAATTTTCGCGTTCTCGTCGACGCTTTGGCCTTAATTTTGGTCGAATAATAAGTGGTAAAGACTGCAGTAATCGCTATAATTGTAGCCCATATTAGAAGTAAATCAATCTGTAATTATAAGCACATATTTATACAGTAAAATAACTTAAATAACAGTTCTAACACTTACTCTCTTTGAATCGTAAAACATAAACTCAATTAACCAATGAATGGGATTTGTTTGGAGTATAGAAAACAAACACAAATAAGTGGCAAATATAATGAATGACATGGAAATTAAGTCCAAGAATTGGTTATTAATTTGGTGTCGAGTGAACATGAATAATGACAAAACAATTAAAGCGATTCCAATGAATATAATCTGATTTGAAAGTAAATAAGTGATAGACAGTGAATGTTTCAATCATTGGATATATTACTTGTAAGACTAGAGTCGGTGTATGTGTTGAGCAAAACATGTAACTAAGGGATGGATTGAATAGTTTGGTGACAACACAGGCCCCCGAAGTGGACACAAATGCCACACAACAGTGGCTAACGATAAACAGTTCCCCGTAAGAGAAACTCGACCTCCAAAGGGATGGCATCTTATAGACTATGACATAGTATATGACATTTGACACAAAGGCCACTGCAGTCAACCACACAAATGCATCTAATATTTCAATCATAAATAGTCTATAGTTTGTGTCAATTATGTTGTGTTTAGTGTTTTACCCAAAGATAACAAGTGGTTAGAAATGAGCGCAAATGAAATGGATGTCAATGACAGACACGTCCAGACACTGAAGACATGGTTTGTTTGGCGTCTAATTGTGTGGAGACTAACAGTGAGTATAACGTAATGAATGCATAGGTTTGCTGTCAAACAGTAATTCTCTGCAATCAATGAAACATACGTTCAGTCTTTCAGTCATTTAGTGATCATTAGTGAGACAATTGTCACTCAAATACAAACTTTTGTCAAATAAGTAAAACTTGTAATAATTGGAGAGAAATGCCAACGAAACCAATGGTAAGCAATGATCTTGCAATAGATCCATGTCTTGATGTGATTCACAGATAATTAAATGGACATTAAATGAGACAAACAATGAAAACCTCAAAAAAAACCTCAAAACTTGTAAATTAAAGGATTTAAAGTGCAATCCTGTGGTGACGTCATCCAAACATATGTCCAATGAATGCTTCACTCAATACACAAATTACGCAACAATTGGAGAAAATGTGTGTTTTTTGTTGAATCAATGCTTTGGACTCTCATTTGGGTTTGACTCTCAAGTTGTGTTGAATACAGCTCTCAATGAATGGATGCATGAACTGAATGAACGAATGTTTAGTGTTTAGTGAGTCATAGAGTGAGGCCTGAGTTGCAGTGAAATGCATGCAATGAGTACTGCGAGTGAGAAGTGAATGAATGAGTCTATGGTTTGTATTCAATGTATTCAAACAAATGTCAACAAAACCTATGAATCCATTGCCTGTCAATTGAATGCACGAATCGTGAAGACATCACTTATTAGGCGTTCAATTGATTCGCAGCAGTAGTTGTCATCACAGTTGGTGTCTTTGAGACAACCAATTGATACAAATAAGTGATTGACATCCGAGTGGTTGGCTTTGAGCACACAATCCATTACTCTTACCACAGAAGGGATCACTTGAATGATATGTCTCATCAAAAGTCTGGTATGAATTGCAAGCATTGAGTGGCTCTAAGAGTGGCATTCATTGACTATAACTAACTGATGATACGATATAATGATTGGACTAATGATTGGACTAATGATTGGTTGTGTGTCGTGCAGGCAAATCGGGCGAAGAGGTGGTGGTGATCGCCAAATACGACTACTCGGCGCAGGGATCACAGGAGTTGGACCTGAAGAAGAATGAGAGACTGGTATTACTGGACGACAGTAAGCACTGGTGGAAAGTCTTGAATTCGAGGAATCAGTCGGGATTTGTTCCCTCGAATTACGTCAAGCGCGAGAAGCCCTCCCTCTTTGACAGCATTAGGAAACGGGTCCGCAAGAAGACCGACTCTCACTCTCACCGCCACAACAGTCCCCTGTCGTCGCCCATTGCGCCCAAAGCGGTCGACATCGACATCACGTGTTCGCCCGACTAATTGTGTGGAGACTAACAGTGAGTATAACGTAATGAATGCATAGGTTTGCTGTCAAACAGTAATTCTCTGCAATCAATGAAACATACGTTCAGTCTTTCAGTCATTTAGTGATCATTAGTGAGATAACTGTCACTCAAATACAAACTTTTGTCAAATAAGTAAAACTTGTAATAATTGGAGAGAAATGCCAACGAAACCAATGGTAAGCAATGATCTTGCAATAGATCCATGTTTTGTTTTGATGTGATTGACTGATAATTAAATGGACATTAAATGAGACAAACAATGAAAACTGAAAAACTTGTAAATTAAAGGATTTAAAGTGCAATCCATGGGTGACGTCATCCAAACATATGTCCAATCAATGCTTCACTCAATACACAAATTACGCAACAATTGGAGAAAATGTGTGTTTTTTGTTGAATCAATGCTTTGGACTCTGATTTGGGTTTGACTCTCAAGTTGTGTTCAATACAGCTCTCAATGAATGGATGCATGAACTGAATGAACGAATGTTTAGTGTTTAGTGAGTCATAGAGTGAGGCCTGAGTTGCAGTGAAATGCATGCAATGAGTACTGCGAGTGAGAAGTGAATGA